ATATCTTAATGACATTCATCTGAGTATTCTCAAAGTATTTTACAAGCAAGTATGGTGTTTTTAGTTTAAGACTGGAGAAACTAAACTAGACATGGGGAGAGTACTATTCCTGTCCCCTAAAGGTGACAGAAGAAACCACAGAGAAATCCCACCAGAGCTGTATAAAACTGCAAGCTTCAGGGCCCTCCCTGGTGGCGCAGCGGGTTAAAGCACGGCACTAAGAAGCTAAAGCCACTTCAACATGAGTTTGATACCTACCCCAGAGGTGACCCACATGGCACGGCAGACATCTCCTTACCTGCCCACTGCTCCCTCAACAGTGTACTCCATCATTCTTTTCACCGTCCCTGTAACTCTGGCCTGTACCCCAGTTCTTTATGCACAAATAAATAAATCTTCAAGGAAAAAAAAAAACTGCAAGCCTTATAAATACCCATTCAAGGGGTGAGATTGATTTGGTTAATGAGTCTTATTTTGATATCTAGTAATCCAAACTTCATTTTTGGGCTCATACAAGAAGCATAATTAAAGACTCCATAAATCCCAACCTTACAGCATGAAGTAACTGAAAACATCCAGGAACTGAGCTTCTCTGGTGCTGCAAGGGATTAAAGCAAAGCACTACGAAGAGCTCTCTGCATAAGGTCCATCCCAAGCAGTGTTCAATCCCTGGAGGATAGGGAGCTGACCTACAAGGTGCAACAGACCTTTCCTGTCCTGTCTGTCTTGCTGCTCCCCTCAGTGGTGTATTTCAGTAGATCTGCCTGCTCTGCTTCCCACTCTGTTTCTGGTGAATCCTCTTACCCTGCCCCCTGCACCTCTAGCCTGTACCCCAGTTCTTGTTTGCATAGATAAATCTTTGTAAAAAAAAAAAAAAAAGATCAGATCCTGGTACATAAGTCAGGAGTCCTGGATTTTAACATGAGCCTTGCCAATTCAGAGTGTCAAGTCAATTTAGCATCCTACACCTAAGTGTCTTCATCTATAACATGAAAATAATATGTCCACTTTACGTTACTGGGTCATATTAAGAACCCAGTGAGATAATATATGTGAAAGTGCTTTGAAAAATTATAGTTGTATATAAATATAAAATGGTGTTACTAATTGTAGCACTGGTGTCCACACCCATATATTTATATTTGTGAGTAAATAATTAGGAACAGTGGTTATTAATCAGAAAATATCCTGTGAAAAATACTCTCTCCTTGCTTATCAAGCTTGAAGGTAGCCCATTCATTAAGCACAGTGACCTTCAAAGCACTAGTTCAAATCCCAGCTTGACCCAGAGTGATTTTTAAATGAAAAAAATTGGGGGCCTCCCTATTGGCCTAGGGGTTAAATCTCAGTACTATCACTAGTAAGGCCTCAGTTCAATCCCTGGCCAGGAAGCTAGCCCATATATGGTGCAGCAGACCTCTCCTGACCCACCTGCTGCTCCCCTCCTGCTGTATTTTGGTCATTCCACTTATTTTGCTCCCCACTCTGTCTCTGATGTGTCTTTTCAACCTCACACCTATGACCTATACCCCAGTTCTTCTATGCCAAACAATAAAAATAAAAGTGTTTCTGGGTCTCATTTTACTTACGCACACTGAGGATTAAAAACTTTTTGTGAGAATCCATAATGCATGCTAAATGTTTGACAGTGCTGGTACAAGTAAATTCTCAATAAACATTAGCTTAAGCAAGTATCAAGCACTTCTTGAGCACTTGCAATGTGCCAGGCCTACCTTGAGAAAGAAAATGAAAAGACCAGGTTGGGTTTCAAAACGCTAACCTTTTGGTGGGAAAACATACATAGAAGCAATGAACAACATGCTCACTAGTCAAATGAAAGGCAGCTTAAAAATGAATGTATAGGGCCCTCCCTGGTGGCGGCACAGCGGGTTAAAGCACAACACTAAGAAGTTACAGCCACTGCAGCATGACTTCAATCCCCACCCTGGAGGTGACCCACATGGCACAGCAGACCTCTCCTGACCCGCCCACTGCTCCCCTCAGCAGTGTACTTCGTTGATCTGCCTGTTCTGCTCCCCACTCTGTCTCTGGTGAATCTTCTCACCACCCCTGTACCTCTGGCCTGTACCCCAGTTCTGTATGCATAAATAAATAAATCTTTAAAACAAACAAAATAGAATGTATAAACCTGCCTAGAAGAGAGAGGTAGATAGAAACCTTCTTATAAGGAATATTTAACTCAAGACTTTTGAAGAGTGAGAAGTTTGTGAAAATAAAAGGCTTGGTATTTTGCATTTGACTTTATCATCTGCCCACAGGGGTTTGATCACTTGAAAAGTCATGGCTCATGTTTATGCTTGTTGATTTTCTGGTGATTCAACCTAAAGATTCTGGTGACTTCATGAGCATGGTGTTGGAAACTGGTTTTGTTTGTTAACTTTTTATACATGAAACACTTGTTATTTTGTTCTCGCCTCATATACTACTTAAGAGCTATACAAAAAAAGATTGGCTCCCAATACTTAAAAATGTTAGCACTGTTGGTGATCTTTTTGGGAGGAGGCAATGAGGACTTGAAATCTCTTATTCCTCTCCAGAATAGCTGGAGCTAGAAGGACCCTGGAGAAATGTAAAATAAAAAATGTCTTAGAAATCCTTCTGAAAAGTATGGAACAGTTAGGATAGCTGTTCTTTGTCCACACATGGGAAACAACAGAAAGCCTCGCATTTGCCAGATGTATTGCTATCAAACTGTAACAGGGTGGTCTCTAGGAAAAGGGGAAGTTCCAGGTTCCCTGCTGCCCCACCCAGAAGGAGGGTGGAGCTGAGCAGAGAAAAAAGAGAGAGGTGAAGGAATCTGAAGAGAAGAAGGAAGCAGGATGGAGAGCCAGAAGGAGACTTGAGGAAGCCACATGGAGCAGCAAGAATGTGATGAAGAAACCGTGCTTTTTTCTTGACCCTGGACTGTTTAAGGCAGATGTGGGTGAGCTACCTGTAGGGAGGTGACAATGGCAGTGTTTACATTAATTTTGAATGTACTCTTTTTCTCCCAGATTTGTCTGGCCATTTCTGACCCTTTTCGATGGGTCCCGGCCAGAAGTTACTTTAGTCTCATGGCAGACTTTCAGGCCTTGCTTTGGGCCAATCCCTTTTGGATTGACTTTTGCCCACAAGGGGATGGGTAACTTCAGGTGTTTGATTTAGACATCATATTCTTTGTCTTCTGTATTGTATACTCATTGTATTAAAGTCACTTTTCATTAAATGTTTTGTCTTAATGCAGCAGATGGCAGAACCCACTTAGCGCAGGCAGGTTTGGGGTTCAGTGGTGCCCCTCTCCCTGTCCTGTAACAAAACCAAAGTGTCTTCCTCATGTCACCAAGTATGTCAGCGGTAAATCTAGGAATTAGGGATCTTACCCTAAGCAGAACGTTCTGACTTTTTTGGAGGGGGGCTTTCTATTACCTTAACGTTGGCTAAATCCCCCCTCTGAACACCATATAGGAAGATGTGAAAAGCTGTTTTTCTGTTTCTGCCTATACCTGTGACTGCCAGGTTAGAAAGGTTTGATTGGCATTTAATAGAAACTACCTGTTATGAAAGTCATAGAATCCTAAGAATTTAGAGCTGAAAGAAGTTTCCAGAGCTTGTAATCCAGCCTCCTCCTTTCACAACTGAGGAGACTGCTCAGAGGCTGAGCCTCTAGCTCTTACAGAGTCCTCTTCTAGGGTTTTATCAGTATTTTGCATGAGGATGGTTTGGAGAGACCCACAGTGCCTTTCAGTTGCAGCAGACATAAATGTATTCCCCCTGGCCATATCTGTTAGCTGAAGAATTTATAGACCAGAGCAAAAAAAGTTAAATTTTTAAAGTTCCAAGAGGGTGAGTAAACAGAAATCCTTAAGTTACATATTGGCCCATGTGGTTGGTGCCCAGAGACAATGAGATCGATTCCAACCCCTTTTTAAGTTTTGGGCACCTGGCCCGAGAACTTTTAAATAAGAACACCGTTGTCAACAACAACAACAAAAACAGTCACCAAGACTCTGGATAGTATCTCCACCCGGCGCCAAGAGGCAGTAACACAGAAAGTCTGCAGATTTGCTATTCCACTTCAGTGTGTAGATGCAGAGGAACTGCTGGATACTGTAGCAGGATTTAATATTTTGGGTTTGTTATTTTTGTGGGCGGGGGTGGGGGAGGAGGGAGGACACTCTCTGGAGAACTTCAGGCACTTAACTGGAGGTGGAAAAGCCATCTTTGGCCTGCAGCAAGACCATTTCCTTACGAGTAGCCCCTGGAAGCGAGAGTAGATATGCCCGGGGGGCAGACCGCCCTAAGCCCATCGCCTTCCCTCCTTCCCACAGTGGGATGCCCTCCTCCCGATTCGTAGCCGCGATGCCCCTGCCCAGAGGAATCGCCAGTCCTGGTAGCAGGAGCTCTTCAACCAGTGCGTTTTCCTACCTGGCTTTTTCGGGGACCTCCCCTGCCCCACCCGGGCGCCTTCCCGGAGCTGGTGAGGAGAGGAAGGCCGTTGGCAGGTGCGGGGCATTCCTGCTAGGTTGGGCCCGCAGGGAGGTGTCCGCCGTGACGGAAGAGAAGCCCCGGGAGCCTCGGCCCTTCCCGCCATGCCAGCGGCCGGAGACCGCTCCGGAGGCGGCGGCTGCCCCTCGCGCGCTGCTGGTCCCCGGCG